CTCCACCAGTCTGGCTAACAACCTCTATAAATGATTCAGGTTGTCACCCGATAGGTGAGGGGACCAAAGGACTTGTTGCTACATCGGAGCCCACTTGTTGCTGCGAGTAATACGCTTCTCATGTTAGACACCCGGCAGGATCAAGTGTCTGTGCAGGCAGACCTTTGTGATACAATCCTTTATCTAACTTGGACACATTCCTTTACTCTCACAAAGATGGATTCAGGGCAAACAGACACTCTTTTGTACTTTTTTTGGTTGATGCTGTTATGTATTCATGCCAAAAAAAATGCTTAACTATCACATAGTACAGTCTGAAAACTATGGGTCTATTTTTCTCAACAGACAATGAAGAGGAATAAAGCTCACCGTGGGTACTGAGGAGGAAGGACGAGGTCTCCGGTGAGCTGTCAGGCGGCTTCCGCAGGTAAACTCTGAGACCGCTCATCTTAAGAGAGAGCATGCTGGCTGCCACTAGACGCTTTCAGCAACTATAGAGGGAAGAGAGGAAACGAAACTTGATGCTTATATGTGTGTGTGTGTGTGTGTGTGTGTGTGTGTGTGTGTTCAGGTGGAAAAGAACAAATCAATCTTTTTATGGAGTAAGAAGATAGCTACTTTTCTTTTAATCGTGATTGTAAGTGCCGCTTGATTGACCTCACGTTTCATAACATTACTTTACGTTACGGCTCCCAAATGAAACGGTGAACGACTCATTTAACTATAGATGAAAACTTTCTTAAAGCCACAGTGGACAGAGAAAGACACGGCCAGACAGACAGCAGATGATGGAGAGAGGAGAGAGAGAGAGAGAAGCAGATGATGGAGAGGTAAACAGTTCACATTTCATTTTTTTCAATGATTAATGTACATTGGATGTAAATAATGTGCTAGACTGGAAAGCTTTGTAATATCGAGCTTGTTTATCAAAATAAATTCCCGGGAGAGAATCCTCTCATGCAGACCCCCCCCACAGAGGTCAGCGCTAAGCCTGGAAAACGCCCCTGGTCAGAGAAAGATCACAATAATTGCTTGAATTCACCATTTCAATCTACACTTGAGATATGGGAACAGATAGATTTCATTAAATGTGCATATGCACGATATGCACAAAAGTTCAAACATTATCCTTTGATAAACTGTATTGCTGACTCTGTCACTCCACAGCTTCTCTCATTTACACAAGTGTGGTAGTTTGTAAAAGACGGCATCATCATTAGGTTTGTTATGATCATCTCTCCAATGAGCATAACAAACATAAATCATTATTTAATTAAACAACAGTACCGCAGAACCATAAAAGCCTGTTTTGCAGGGTGCATCTAGTTATTTTGATTAATTCTATTTAATCCGCTTGTTGTTTATTGTTACTAATGAGCCACCTACTGGTGACAGACGGCTTTGAATTTGAGGTCAAACAATATTGTTACAGAAACGACTGATGTCTATTATAACAGAGCCGTTTCCTGCTTTTCTATGGGCTGATTGGTTTTAGGGCAATTTGTTGCAGAGAAAAGACAATATAGGCACCTTCACTGTACTGCTAACAGCTGTACTTGGCAGCTGTCAGACGGATTTGTAGTCATTTGACAAATGTCTGCAGACGAGTATAAATAACATGCGAGAGCCCGAGGTGAACTCAACAATGTCTGCTCAGTTTCCAAGGATTCCCAGAGGAAGACAGACGTTCACCGTTCACTTTGATCATGAAAGTCAAATTAACATAGACCATATTCTATTATTAAATATTAAAGATACTTATATTCCTTTCAAAAATATCAGGTGGGACGTTTTTTGATATGCCATATTAATTTAAAACAACAATAATCAAATTGCATGAAGAAAAGCAGCTTACAGCTAAAAGACAAAACAAAACATGTTTTCAATACACAGATTAAACCATCTGTGCACTGTAGAATCTAGATCCAAACCAGGGATGTGGCTGTAATCCAGATTACTTTACAGTATGACTTAACACACCTCCAGGTGAAATGTCACACAACAGCGATCACTACGGCACAGTATTTTGACATCTTGCCCAGTTGCAGTGTACCAGTAACCCACAGATGAACTTCTCTGCTAATCCTGATTAACAAACATGCCCACCCACCCCGAAGGACACAGAAATAAATCTCGATTTTAAAAAAATCTGCTTGTTGAATTGTGTACCACTTACCACACACTGTGTCCAAATTCAAATCAGCAAGTAGTGTCCACACAGCATCCTCACAAAAAGGAACATGCTTTTAGAGAACCTATTTTGGGCAGACATGAATATATCTACAGTTATCTCTTGTCCCCTCCTCAGGACTTTAGGTCATAATCCGGATCCTTTTTCCTCTCATTCTGTCCCTCCACAGAAAGCCCCTGATTCATTTGGTCCTTATCAGTTGCACAGAAGGGAAAACAAAGGACTGGCCTGAAACTCGTACTCTGCTTCCCCCGAAGAGAAAAAAATACTAGACGATGCAAAGTCTGTCTTATTTGTCATGTTTCCAAAACCATACCATCAAAACAAACCAAGGACAAACAACTCCTTTCCAAAATACCATTCCGTAATGTTTCCCACTATCCTGCTGTCACCCAGCCCAAAGAGAGACTTTTTACAAGGGTAGAGGAAATGCAGGTCTATATGTTTTCTTTGTTTATTTCTTATAAAAATATAATAGTTTATATACAAACTATAAACACAAAACAATGAGCCAAATATTTTTTTGTTGGATGGCCATGATCTGGCTGCTATCAGCCTACCACAGCAGTTTTACCCCTTGGATGGCCAATATCACAAGCACGTTGTGGTTTAAAGCCACAGTGCCATGAAGATATATATCAAATATTCCTATGGGTTCAGGCCTGATAAGTAAGTGCAAGGTAAAACACACAGTTTGTGCAGGGAGGGGCAATATCAGGTGCAACTGGAGGAGGAAGGTAGAGGTGAGGGAGACTTAATTAAGATAGTAGAGATAAATAGAAGAGAGCGGGACAAGTTCCTCAAAGAGATGAGTTTTCAATTTGCACCAGAAGATTGGGGGATGACTGTGCAGTTTTGGCTTGGGGGGGGGGGGGGGGGGGGGG